TTGTTTATTATTACAGAAGTACAGGATGAAATTAATAAGACGTCGCGTTCAAGGTTCAATGATTTTTTAATCAGTCCTTCTCGTTCTGCTATAAATCTCCGTCCAGTAGACACCCTTGTTACATCTGCTAATTCTACATCTACCACATCTAGTAATCCAAATTCTGCATCATCTAATTGGTCTGAATTCCCATTTGGTTATAACGGGTCATCTTCCTCTCAAACATGCCCTCCTTCAGCGTTGAATGCCGGAAATTGTATTAAAGAAAGATCATTTGGTAAGTGTACTACTTATTTTAAATTGTTTGAGTAAAATATATATTTATGTTTAAGAGAATTATAGTTTACTGGTTGCATAATACATTTTAATTTTTTTAGCATTCTCAACAGCTAGCAGCTCAAATATGGATCAAAATAAAACTTTACCTTCTGCATCAAGTAAGTGTGTATGGAATTATATTTATTTATCCATTTCTTACTCGTAGTACACTAAACTATAATACTTTCGTGTTGCATATTTTTTGAAAGTTATAATTAAGAGCTAAATAATTTTATTGTTCATTTTTTTACTATTTCTATTTCATATTTTAAAATTTTGAAAAGAGTGAATCTTCGATTTTTTGTATATTACAGGTATGTTTCTTGTGCTCAAAACAATCCTCTCCAAACAAGAAGAGCTCTCGCGGAATTTTCAAAATTTTGATCATAAATTGGATTTAATTATGGACTTAATCAGGACTGATGAAAATGTCAAAAAACCAGAGGGATGACCCACTCTTCCATTACCGGACAAAAACACTTTTTATGAATTCGAATTGTTCCTACAAAAAAGCAACAATTATGATTTCGCTGTAAGTACTTTATTATAGCGTACTTTATTATTTATTTATTATAGTAACCTAATTTAACTTATTATCATTTGTTTTTCTGCAGGTATCTCATCTTAGTGTCGTAGCTGGTAAAGGGGCAAACGAGGGAGAAATGGCTACCAGTATATGTAAAAAACTTTTTTCTCCTGAGCTTGCATCTAGTCTGACCTGGACGGGAACGGAATTTAAAAAAGGAATTAAGTCGATGAAGTGTGGCGCATGCATTATTGGTATTAATTTATTTTTTTTAATTAATCACAGCCGATTCGTCCGTTTGTTTTTACTTATGTTATGCACTTAGATCCGCGTCTAATTTTCATGAGTTTTTGGTATTTGGTATTTATCATGTATAACTTTTTTTTTCAGATACATGTGCCAAACAATACAGAGGAAATTTTTTAAGAACATCAGTGACCAGGTCCATTAGTGCATGGCTTCGCAGCCATTCAAAGAAGAGGACTGCAAATGACCATTAAATAAAAATGAGATGCCAGCGATCCGATAAAATATATAATAAAATATGATCTCCCTTAGGGTAATGTTCCTTGGAGCGGTTCGTGCGTAAGCGGATTAGCGGATCGCCAATCACAGAATCGTTCTGTTTGATTTGCTTGCAAAATTTGTAAACAGATCTAACAGAACGATTCTGTGATTGGCGATCCGCTAATCCGCTTACGCACGAACCGCTCCATGGGACATTACCCTTAGGATTTTCCTTTCGCGTTTATATCATAACATTTTTATTAAAATGGTTGACTACCACTCTGCTCTTTCACTTGTTTCGTTGTTTAGAAGGCATATTCAGGAAAATTAACTTTTATATTGTATGTATACTTTTAATTGTTTGTACAATTGTAATTAATGTTACAAATTAATAAATGTTACTTTAATCTTCTCAAATTCTTTTATTCCAATATTTAGAGAGTAAATTTCATGCAGCAACGCCTGTAAACAGTGGCGGATTTAGGTATAGGCTGACTAGGCTATAACCTAGGGCGACAGCTCCTTAGGGGCGGCAGCTCCTTAGGGATGGCAAAATTGAACAATTTTCAAAAATTAAAAATGATACATGTTCCACAGAATTTAATTATTACATATTATTTAAATTTAACTCTTATGGTTATTTGCATAAAGATTATTTCATAATTGTATAAAAGTAGTATACAAATTATATTAATAATATATATAATTATGGGGTTGCTAATGTTACAAGCATAGACAAACACACTTAACAAATATTTTATTCTCCGCGGCACTCTGCATTTCGCGGAAAATTTCGCGGTCGCAGCGCCCCACCTGCCGCGCGTGTTTTGTTTATATTTTTAGTGACTTGTTTGCACAGGTCACACAGTTTTCGGCCGTTGACGAGGGTGAATTGTATTTCAGCGGTTATTTACTGAATAAAATATTAGTAAGTTTATCGTGATGTAAGGAATATTTACATACAGTGTGATTGAAAATATGAGTAACTGTCACGGTCGTAAAAAATTAAGTGGTTCTGAGTACAGAAAACGTGCAAAGGACAAAGCCGAGAAAAATAAAAAAATTGTTTCAAAAATACCGAAATTGGAATCTTTTTTTAAATCTCCTCCCGTTGCATCTGATTCCGATGCGAATAATTCTTTTAAAGCCTCAAATATAAGTGAAAACTATGAAATTGAAGAAAATGCAGATGAAGAAAGAGAACATTTGTGTTCGAAGGGGAAAGAACATTCATGTTCGAAGGAGGAAAAACATTTGTGTTCGAAGGAGGAAGAACTTCATTCAGATGATGCTCATGAGCAAAACACGAATTCAACTGATAATGTAATTATTGAAAATCAATTTAGTTTAGCAATAAATACATGTAATTTAATAAATTAATTTTTTAAAATTAAAACGCAATGTAATTTAAACACTTTAGTTTCGTAAATAATTTTTGACTATAAAATTCAATCGATTTCATTGATATATTTTTGCATTCATAAAGCACATGTACTTTTCATCTTTAAAATATTCGAATTGTGAAAAACTGTTTCGATATTCTTTAATTTGCAATTTTTTAGTTGTAAATTTAATTTATCCATGTCATCCGTTTTTTTTCAGTATATCGAAACAAGTACCCCACGGCTTGATAAAGATCCATATTTTTGGCAAATAAACGACGCAACAAGAGATTATATAGTAAAGAATGGATTTGATCAAAATATGAATTGTGATTTTACAAATAGCAAACGACAGTACGATACACAATCTCGTTACTTTTCAAAAAGGTTGTTAGAACGAAAGCTTCACAACGGCGAAACAAAAACAAGAGAATGGATTATTTATTCAGAAAGCACAGGAAAAATTTATTGTGGTCCGTGTCTAGCGTTTTGCGGTGGTACTCAGTTTGGATCACGAGAAGGTTTCGATGACTGGAAAAACTCGATAAGAATAGAACAGCATGAAAATAGCGATAGTCATAAAAACAGTTTATTATCTTTAATAATGCGTGAAAATATTGTTGGTACTATAAATGAAAAATTAACTGAATCATTACATATCGAAATAAAATATTGGAAACAAGTCCTTCGAAGAGTCATAAGTGTGATAAAAAAACTGTCATCTCGAGGACTTCCGTTCAGGGGTCATACAGAAAAATTTGGATCTGTTCATAGTGAAAATTATATAATGTCTCTTGAACTTTTAGTTGAATATGATCCGTTCCTAGCTGAGTATATATCACGGTACGGAAATCCAAGCAGTGGGCGCACAAGCTATTTATCATCGCTTATTTGTAATGAATTCATCGAGTTGATGGCTGAAGAAATACTACAAGTGATTTTTAAAGAAGCAAGAGAATCGAAATATTTTTCAATAATAGTGGACTCGACTCCTGATTTGTCACATATTGATCAGCTTACGTTGATTTTACGCTACGTTAAACCCGATGGTTCTCCAATAGAACGATTTATAAAATTTTTACCCAACGTCGGTCATAAAGGGACTGAGATAGCAAATGCTATTCTGTTAAATTTAAATAAAGTTAATATAGATATTAAAAATTGTCGTGGTCAGTCTTATGACAACGCAAGCAATATGTCTGGCATATACAATGGAGTACAAGCAAAAATCAGAGACATTTGCCCGTATAGTGAATACATTCCTTGTTCGGCTCATTCGCTAAATTTAGTTGGAATATGTGCAGCAGAAATTTGTAAAGAAAGTTGTACATTTTTTAACATTTTTCAAGAATTGCATAATTTATTTTCTTTATCTACATACAGGTGGCAAATACTGCAAGATCAATGTGAAGCACATAAAAAAAGAGAAGATTATGTAAATGAGTCTCGAAGTACTACTCAACGGAAAACTATAAAAATACTATCGGTAACTAGATGGTCGGCTCGTCACGATTCTTGTGAAAGTTTACTTGAATTATGGGAACCAATACAAGAATCTTTAGAGGTAATAAAGAATGACCCATCGCAAAAACCACTAGTAAAATGCCAAGCAAAAGGTATACAAATTAAATTAGAACGCCTAGAAACTGCTATTTTGTCTATTTTTTGGGAGTTCGTTTTGCAAAGAATAAATGCAGTCAGTAAACGCCTACAAAATGATAGTATAGATATTTTTCTTGTTGTAAATTTATACGACAGCTTAATCCAATTTGTTACAGAAATTCGAAATGATAAAAGCTTTGATAATTTTGAAAAAAAAGCTTTACTCATTTCGAAAACAAAAGATTTGACCAGAATTTGAGACGCGAAAAAAAGAGGAAAAAACAAATTGACGAATCATCGATAGAAGAATATAAATTCAACGCAAAGGATAACTTCCGAATCAATGTTTATTATATAATTTTAGACAGTTTATTAAACGAATTACAGAAACGATCTAAATCTTATAAAAGTTTTGCCGAAAAATTTGAGTGGTTGCTGAATTTAAAAGATTTATCCACTGATGAGATTCAAGAAAAATCAAACTATTTAATAGATTTATATCCCGACGATTTAGAAAGTAATTTGACAAATGAATGCATTCATTTAAAAAATCAGCAGATTGATGTAAGCTTTATACGTGACAAGAATGACAAATGGAAAAAAGAAAACCCATCAGTTTCTGTATTAAAATGGATAAGAGAAAATAATCTTCAATCAATATACCCTAACATTGATATCGCACTTCGAATGAGCGTATGTACAGCAGTATGTCGAATTGTTCCGGAGAACGATCTTTTTCAACGTTAAAAAGAATAAAAAATTACCTGCGTACTTCAATAACTCAAGAAAGATTGAATTCATTGGCATTATTGAATATTGAAAATGAGATTTTAGAAGGCATCAATTTTAATAATTTAATTCAAAGGTTTGCCGAAACCAAATGTAAAAGAAAAACATTTATGTAAAATATATACAATAGATTATAGGAGTACTGATGTTTAATTTTTTTTCCTTGTACCAAAATTTTTATTAGAAAATATGTATGGCCTTACATGGGCGGTAAATATTTCAAAGCCTTGGGCGGCCCAAGCCTAAAATCCGCCACTGCCTGTAAAGCGCAGGATATATGCAGCTTTATAGCGCTTTTACAGCGCTTTCTGAGCGCTTTTATAGCGCCTTCTGAGCGCTTTACAGGCGCTGCCGTACTATGTAAAAACTGCTATAAATGTGCTATAAAACCGCATTTATATTGCGCTGACAGTATGCGCTTTTTCAACACTTTCTGTGCGCTTTGCAGACACTGTTATACGACATGAAAAGTGCAGTAAATGTGCTATAAAACTGTATTTATTTTGCTCTGATTATATGCGCTTGTAATGCGCTTTTCATAGTGGATTTTGAAAGCGCTAAAAAACTGCTAAAGTAATGCGACTGCATACGCGCTTTTTTAGCGCTTTTTAAGCGCTAGTATGCTACGTGGGTAGCTGCAAAGAGTGCCGTATTGTCTTCGCTATTGTTCCAACACCCGTTCGTTTCCACTTTTTTGTACGGTTTACTTATTATACGGTTTCCCTTAAGACGTGATCTGGCCGTATCGTCCTACCGATTAAATTCTCTGGAGGCGAGAGCCATTAATTAAATAAGAAGAAGAAGATATTGTTCCAAGCAGACAGGAGCCATTAATTAATATATTAAGCTGCAAAAAGTCGTCGATAATAATATCGAGTCTTGTGTCGAGTGAAGGAAACATAAAAAATAAACAACGCAAACGTGCCGATAATTTTTCGGAAGCAGAAAAAATAATTT